TTCCAACGTTGTCGTGCTCGGCCGGTCAGCCACCACCAACGCTGAAGTGGCGAAGCTAATCAGCGAATACGACTCGCCTTCAACGGGCGTTCACGTGCGGCCCGTAGCGTGTGACGTCTCCTCTCGAGACAGCGTCCTTTCCGCGTTGGAGGCAGTTAAGGACCTTCCTCCCGTCAAGGGCGTGATCCACGGCTCAATGTACCTTCGCGACTCCATCTTCTTCAACGCCTCCTTCGATGACTGGAAGGCGATCAACGGCCCCAAGATCGACGCCGCTTGGAATCTCCACCACCTCCTCCCCGATCTTGACTTCTTTGTCGCCCTCGCATCCGGGGCCAACGTCGTCGGCAACGTCGGCCAGTCCATCTACTGCCAGACGTCATCTTTCCTCGACGCCTTCGCGCAGTGGAGGAGCCGCGCTGGCAAGCCAACCATTTCCATTAGCTTGCCTGTCGTGGACGATGTCGGCTACGTCATCCAGCAAGGCATGCGCGAGCAGCTCCTGGAGAAGCTGGGCTTCTACATCTCCATCGCTCAGGTCCACACCGTTATCAAGGGCGCCATCATCGGCCCGTCGTCAGGCTTGAACATCGACTCGCGAGCCATTGCATTTGTGCTCTACGACTCGCCCCAGGGCAAGTCGCACGGGCTGGAAGAGCGGTCGCGCTACCTGTCCGCCCTACGTCAGAAGAAGTGGAGGAAAAACAAGCACGCGTTGGACGGCCATGTCGACGGCGAGGTCGCCGCCGGAGGAGAGCTGAGCCTTCTGGATGCTCTCGCCGGGAAGGTCTCGTCTATTACGATGATGAGCCGTGAGGATGTGACGCCGACACGCAGTCTCATCGAGTACGGCTTGGACTCGCTCGTGTCGGTGGAGCTGCGTAACTGGATCAAGAGGGAATACGGAGCTGATTTGGCTCTCACACAGATTGTTGGCGCCCCTGATTTGCAGGCGTTGGCGGATGTGATTGTTGCTCGTCAGAAGGCGTGAACAATGCCTAGTATCAATTCGGCTGTGAAGACGGAACTGGATGCTTAAGCATAGATCAACTATTTTCACTTGGCAGATTACTTGTAGTTTACACTTGGATTAGACACCATTCATCAACGTGTAGACAAAAACCTATTATCGGTATAACATGAAGAAAAGGCAATGAAGGAAACAAAATGCAAATCATTTGCGTTCTCGAGAATACAGTCTTGCAGACCACTATGCTACTTTCTTGTCGACACGTAGAGGATAATGTCCCGACTACACCAGATCGTGGAGGCTCTATATGTGGTCTTTCAGCAATCCTAGGTGGTTTTCAGTAATTCATGCTGTTATCTAAGGAGTAGGCATGCGTGTTGGGCACGGTTCGGCCCGTCAGTCTTCCCTAACGATTCTGTTATTCCAGGTCACTGGCATTGGGTCTTTGTGATTGACAAAGCTCGTATCCGTCTGCCCTGGCATGCGAGGAATCCCTGTCAACTCACGTTTCTTGCCGAGGCCTTTTTTTTTAATGGTTCCTGTTATCCCAGCTAGAATCCCGATAATATGGAGCACATAACTTGGTAAGAAATCAGGGACTTTCGGAGGTCGGCTAATATGAAAACCGCCTGATTTTTGAACAAAAGATCAAAACAGCGTTGCAGTCAAAGTCGAAGATGGAGCACCCGACATGGGTTCAGGGAACTGCAGAATGTGAGTCCACGCCATGTATCCATAACAGAGCCACAAATACAAACAAGGTGTGTCCGCGGGCGGTAAGCTGCTGCCTATACGAACGTATAGAGAAAGTTAGAAGGAAGAGTGATGGAAACAGGGAAGGCAGGGTTTCAATGTAACCCGGCCTCCGTCTTGCTGACATGCATCAAAAGATGACGTCCAGTGGAACACCAGCCCCATAGAAACATCCATGGACGCATGCCAGAACATGTCACAAACGCATTGTCGAGGTAAGTAGCATAGTTACGGTTACAAGAATCTCAACACCACATTAGAAAGCATCAAAGAGAAGCTTGCCTGCGGTCACTTCACTCCATCACTTTCTGTGGCAAAAGACCAGCACACCTTTTGTCACCTGTTACTTGATTATCATACCCCTTGTTGGAAGTCATGGATACCCTAGAAGCTGGAGACATTCATGCCGTCGAGCAGCTCTTGCGCAGTCATGAGTCTGTCAAAGACGCGGCCGTGTTATCTGTACAAAGATACGGGGAAGATATGCTCGTGGGCTTTGTGACGCTGCACAACCAAGCCCTCGAGAACCAGATCCGAACCCTCGGCCAGTCCGGCGACGAGTTCGAAGCGGAGCAAGTGCAGCTGTGGGAATCGGTCTTTGACCGGCGCGTCTACGCCACTATCGACGACGAAGCGCGGCGGGAAACTGTAGGACGCGACTTCACCGGCTGGATCTCGGCCTACGATGGCAGCTTGCTGGACAAAACCGACATGAACGAGTGGCTGGACGATACCATTGATATGATGATCACGCACGGCATTCGCGATGGCCCGGTCAACATTGTCGAACTCGGAACCGGCTCCGGCATGATTCTCTTCAGTCTCGCCCGCCATATTCGTTCATATCATGGAATCGAGCCGTCCCGCAGGGCCGTCGACTTTGTCTCTGCGACGGCTCAATCCATCCCTCAACTCGCGGACAAGGTGCATGTATACGAAGGTACAGCAACCGACTTTCATCTGCTGGGGTCGCCCTCTCCCGACTTGGTCGTCATCAACTCGGTTGCCCAGTATTTCCCTAGTCAGGCCTACCTGCTGGAGGTGGTGGAGGGCATCCTGAAGTTCGGCTCCGTTCGGACGGTTGTGTTTGGCGATATCCGATCCTTTGCTCTTCAGAAGGAGTTCCTGGTAACCAAGGCACTTTGCGCCATGGGAGGAAAGGCAAGCAAGGCCGCCCTCCGCGAGAAGATCGCGGAGCTGGAGCAGACCGAGATTGAGTTGATGGTAGACCCGGCATTCTTCACCAGCCTGCCTGACCGGTTTCCCGGCCTCGTTGAGCATGTCTGCATCGTCCCGAAGAAGATGAAGGCCACCAACGAGTTGAGCTGCTATCGCTTCGCTGCGGTCCTGTACATTGCGAGTGGAAGCCAACGGAGCGGAGAAAGGCTGCAGCAGCAGCATTTTGCCAGCAACATTCGAGAAATCGCGGATGGCGAATGGATCGACTTCGTGGCTCACAAATTGGATCGTACAACCCTCTCCCATCGCCTAATCACCGAAAGCCCAGACGTTATGGCCGTGAGCAACATTCCCTACAGCAAGACTGCCTTTGAAAGACACTGTCTCGACGCACTCACGGATATGAAAGGACAGAAAGAAGACGCAGATGATGATTCTGCGTGGCTTGCGTCCATTCGCCAGAGCAGCCAAGAGTCCCCCTCGCTCTCGGCCTTGGACCTGGCCAACATTGCTCAAGAATCAGGCTTCCAAGTTGAATCTAGCTGGGCGAGGCAGTTCTCACAGCGCGGTGGCCTCGACGCCGTCTTCTACCGTCAGCGGCAGCCATCTGATACCATAGCTGGTAGTGGTGATCGTGGGGACAAAGCTCTCTGGCGGTTCCCGTCGGACCATAAGGGTCGAGAGCCCAGCTCGTTCAGCAATCAGCCACTTCAGCAGCAGGCCAGGCAAACGATCCAACGGCAGCTCTTCGAAATTCTGGAGGATCAGCTACCTATGGAGTCGGTGCCCGAGGATATAGTCATCTTAAGCACTTTGCCGACCACTGCGGATGGCAAAGTGGATCGTCAGGCGCTTTCAGAAAGGGTAAACTAGTAGCATGACCCATGACATAGCAGCTGCTTCTGGCTTGTCCAGGACCACTATTTTCAACTATCTCTTGTCTGAATCTGGGGTTTCTCGGGGAATGGACAGGTATCTGCCTATATTTCCTAGTGTTCGAGTCGCCTGCCATTGGTCTGCTGGTCGTCATTTTCTCGTCCTCACGACGGACAGGCGAAATAAATGATATCGGATACTGATGCAACGCTCGTGATCTGTTGTGATTTAGAAATCCAGCTGCCTATATTGCATATGAGCGTGCTGTCCTTAGTGTTAGGATGTGATCAGATTGTTAGCAGAAGGAACGCATTCTGGACTCGTAAATTTCATTAATCGCTACATACCTACTATTCAGTGCCAGGTAGCGATGTTTAATCAATATCCAAGTTTTATTACTACTGCAAATCTAGGCTCTCGTAATTGAAATGACTGTCTATTATTAAGTTAGAATATCGCAGTAACACTTATATTCTATTGTGACTGAGCTTATATAACGATCACGCTATACAGCGCTTCACAAGTTGTCTGCTTCATCGGTCCATATCGGAGAGTTAGATCTCAGTAAGCATCCACACCATCAATACTAAGTCAGCCTTGAGCTTATGTTCTCTCAAGCCTTATACAGGTGAAACACCTAAACGCTGACGCAGAATATTAAACCGTGTTATTACATATGTACTGAATCGATTTCAACTTGATCTCATCATGCCCCATTTGCCTTCTCATCTCAAAGCCTCACGGTAATCACATCTAAGTTTTCTCCCATATAGACTCTCACAGCAGCCTGTCACTTAGTCGAGTCGTCAGTAAAGGCCCTAGGTCTTAGCAAAATCTTCTCTTGGTCCAAATACATGATCAATGTGTACCGTAATTAAGAGCGAGATCAAACTCAAAAGCCTCTACTTCTGTCGCTTTTGAAAAGGACACGTATTAGATTCGGGTGCTGACCATCTCAGACGCTCTCTTTTGGAGACGCTGCCAAGACATCTTAGGTGACCGTCATTGGCCACGGTCGCAATTGTTGCCTAAATCCCAATCCAATCGCACGTCGTCTGAGATTACGTCGACTGATGCGTCAGCCGCCACTCGACCGGGAAATACCAAGACTGATTTCCTGTCGGTCAAAGAGTTATCTCTCGTGCATTTTGAATCGTCCACGCCGTAGCGAGACCTTCAACCTGAGCCTCTTTTGTTGGAAATCATGCTGAAACGACCCGAGATGCCTTGCAATGGGTGTCTGGAGATTGTCAGCCACGCAATCAATAGAGATGAGTCTTGCGCCAGAAGTCGTCAGTGGCAAACAGATACTTGGAGCTTGGTCGAGTCAGCAAAGACCTGCCCGTGTTGCGAACTGCTTTGGGTTCTCTTCGTGGAGCCAGCGCTCGTCCACGCAAAAAAGCGATTTCCTGAAAAGGATTACAATTCATGCCGCGTGGTTAACTTGGATATATCAAATACTGGGGGACGAAACGATTTGAATCGAGTTCTCTGGGCAACAGCTCTCATCACAGTGGACGCCGAACACCAAGGGAGAGTCTTTCTCAACTACGGCTTAATCGGTGTTTCTGTTGAAGACGCAATTGAATATCCAGGTATTTTAGACTTGATAGCTAGCACGGACCTGCCTGGAAGTAAAGTCACTCATGCAAGCGTAACAGATCATCTCCATCCGCCTCTCTGGACTCTCAGTCACACTTCATCCCATCTCACACTGGCAGAGGCAAGCATCAGTTGTGCGAAGCTTTGGCTCGACAACTGTGAGGGGGGCGGACATCGCGAATGCCAGCCTGCCAAAGGATTATTGCCAACGAGACTCATCGATCTTAGAGCCAACAATAGTCTACGCCTTGTGCATACAAACCGTCTAAAGGAGCAAGAAGGAGGGATACGCTATGCAACGTTGAGCCACTGTTGGGGGCCACCAGGGGTAAAAGGCCCCCTGAAATCCACCAGGGAAACAACGGAAGCTTTCGAACAAGAAATACCAGAAAGCATGCTTCCAAGGACCTTTCGAGATGCGGTCACCATTACACGGTCCCTGGGTATTCCTTACCTGTGGATAGACTCTCTGTGCATTGTCCAGGACGATTCTGATGAATGGCAAAGAGAGGCGTCTCGAATGAAAGATGTATACTCTGGTAGTGTTCTTACCGTTTCTGCCATTTACGGTAGAGATAGCAGCTCGGGTCTTTATCCGGAAAATGATTCAAAACTCGAGCCTGGTGGAGGCACGTCAGGGACGGAGCCATCTTCATCAACAATCAACAACAAGAAGGTCGGGCATTTCTCGTACAATCATCAGAAAGATTTATCCGGCCGTCACCAAAGTGTAATGGTCCGTATGGAAGGGAAGAGTACTCGACACCGGTTGGAGGAAGCCCATCTCAGCACTCGAGGCTGGGCTTGTCAAGAACAGATACTGTCACGCCGAATTGTGCATTTTCTGGACTCAGAGATCCATTGGCAATGTAAAAGGATCTATCATACTCAGTCGGGTCGGACCTCCGACGAAGGGTATCTGAGTTGCGAAGCGAACTCTACCGAATTGGATGGTGGCGAAAACGAACTCCGCGGTTTCAACCATTGGCCCAACTGGATTGAAAATTACACTTGCAGAGATTTTACAATTGCTTCTGACAGAATGCCGGCATTTTCTGGTATTACTGAACACTACCAGGGTCTAATTGACCAGGAGGTGCTCTTAGGCATCCGTCGCGACTCTCTAGCAAGGGATCTATCATGGGTGAGAATGGGCCCAGAAAAAGGCCCGGCGAATACCGAAGCGCCTTCTTGGAGCTGGCTTTCTTGCAATGCGCCTGTTTGTTTAGACCATTTCAAGAGGCTGGGTGGGGATGTCGAGCCCGTACTTCGCACGATTGCGGTCGACTGCCACGTGGATTGGACAGGGCCGGCGATGACCTCTACCATTCAAGCGGCCGCGTTTCGTGTACGTGGCCCAGTCATGCAATTGGCGTTGAGAATATCCCCAGAGTCTTTGATTTTCAATCCCCCGCATTTTGTCATCGGCGAGGACGAGCTGGCAGCGTGGCATCTCACCAAGGGGCCCGTACCGCGGCGTTGTGTGGGACAATTTGACCACGAAAACCATCCTGGGGATATCAAAACCGAATACACTTGCCTTCTTCTTTTCTCACGCACGTACCAGGATGAAGCAAAACACAGGGAGACCTTTCTGTTGCTTTTACCTGACCCCGAGACTCTAGTGGACGGGCAGCTTGAGACTACGAAGCCATGTAGCTTCCACCGCGTAGGAGTTGCAATGATCAAGGGATCTGACGAGACGTTTTCTGGGGCCGAAGAAAGAACTCTGGACCTATCATGAACCTAGGACTGTAATTCTAGATTCATATTTATTTTCTCAATAACATTACGTGCCAGAGAAAGTCTCGTTCGTTCTTTCGAGAGTCTCCAAGTAATTATAACTAGAACTCCCAATTAAGACTGAGCACCCTGGTGTTGCTCAACACCTCCCACCGGCGACTTACTGACTCTAGGGCACAGGGGTTCTATTTAAACTCCAGGAACTGGCTGACGTGCTTTCTTCAACCTCATGCAAAGCACACGGGGTTGGGGGCTCTTTCTGCCCTTATTCCATCCGTGCCTATCGTGTTCCTCGCGGCTCTCGCGAAACAACCCCCAATCTATCCCCGGATCCAATGGGCAGAATTGCCCACCCTCCGTTTCGACGCAGGCGAGCTATACTCGACAAATTACTTAAGAGACTTGAGCAACTATATCAGCTGGATTTGGAGCCCGTTATTGCCACGACATATAGATCTTAGTCAGGAACAAGAAACCACTCCGCCCGCTTTTCGGGAAAGTTGACACGCAATCCATACGTCTCAACATTATTACCGGGGATGCTTTTCTTACGTCTACCGAATTTCATTTTGATGAATATGACGAACTAGTAGAGGCCTTGGGTGTCAATCGGCCTTGCAAGTCGAACGAGACAGGCCGCTGATTAAGAGGCTCCTGAAGTTCACGTCTGCGGAACAGCTGAACTCGGTCGTTAGATATCAAAAACGGGGAGGGATGTTGTCGACCCAGATACCATATCGGAAGAGTCCCGAAAAGAAAGCAGCAAGATCGCCAACTAGCCCCCGATCGACAAGATAAGCACCCAGTTCCCCCAAATCTCAGCACATCATCTCGCCCCCGACTTCTCGGGTACTCTTCTCGAACGTATCATCTCAACCTCCGGAAACGTTCCCGGCAACGACACACGTCAGAAAAGGGAGAGTCCACATCGGATCTGTCAGCAACATCATATACGGCCCAACACGAGCGTATAATAGCTCCAAGCCAGGAAACATAAGATCGGCCCCCAACAACAGCCTCCAACCCCGCACCAATCCGCGGCCGAGTCCTGCCCCGAGCACTCGGCACTTGCATTGCGCTCTCACGATCCGGCATTCAGACCACCCTTTGCGTAATAAAGGAAAATTCAGTCCGGGACAGACATGCCTTATCCCGGGTTCGGCAAGAGTCACGCATGCTGACCCCAAACTCTTAAAGCCCAGGGATCACCTTAGTCAAGGGGGCGCAGTCATCGCTAAACGTGACACGGCTCGCTCCTCCCTCCAAGCGCTCAAGCTCACGCTCCCAACGTAACGACTTTCCAAGAATGACGGTCGAATCTGCATCACGCAATGCTCCATGTGCCGTGCTATATCATCCGCAGATATCATAATTGGGGGCCCGGCGGAATCTACTGCCCACGATCGTCTCTGGTCCCCTCTTCGCTGTTCGTTGCGAATCCGATGTCTTATATGGGGGTTGAAGATCGCCTCGATTCTTCCCACATCTCTGGAATGGATCGTGGCTTACCGAGGACATCGGAGTCGTGAGAGGAGGAGGCTGCTGCAAGATCTGACTTGTGCTCGCCACTCATCTCTTCTCGGCTCCCACCAGGCCGGCTCTCACACCCTCAACCCCAGCCCCGTCACCCGAACTATGGTGGCTGTCAAGAAAGGCCAACCTGCCAAGTCTAAGTTTCTCAAGTGCCCCTCATCTCAAAACGAAGCTTTTCCTAAAGCTGGCGTGACGACACCCCCATTTCCACGGCGAGTCAAGACTGAATGTGATAGAGCTAGTTGACATCCAACTTTTCCTCTCATTTCCAAGACATGCACTTTCCCGTCAAATAACGACCCCCAAAACCCACGGATCATACTCAATCTGTCGGAAACGTACCAACTTGGCAGCCTTCAGCCCTGCTCTGCGAGGAAATGGATGGGGATGGGGTTATATCGCGTCATCCCATATAATAACAGGTATCGACAATCATACCTCATGAGACGTCGCAGCGAACTCTATTCTCAGAAACCCCCTGCATCCCTGCCAAAACCTCGCCCTACAGACAGGGGTCCCATACCGCAGCAGGGGTGGTCACGGACTCGACGACAGCAACGACGTTCCGTCAACTCACGACGACGCCCACTCACACTCATTTCAACATCCACACACACATAACACAGCTTCATTCACTGACATTTGTCCACGCATCGCACGGGAGTACATCTGCGCTCTGCGCCCTATCAATGCGCGCCACCGGATGACAATCATGACATAAACTCTTTTTATGCCCGGCTCACACCAAAGGCCACCAGTATGCGCAGACGTTTAGCCGTCGAAAGGGATGATCTGCCTTGCCGCGGAGACGCATACTCTTTCCATCATGAAGCCAAACCTTGCGTGTGGCCACCCATTAGTAATAGTTGAAATCGCAACCAGCTGTTGAAGCCCAACCCAAAATCAACAGCCAGCCTGACTTCTCACGCCAAGGGAGCCGCAGAGCCCCTGCCGATCATTGCCCTCTCCATGAAGCAGCGGCTGAGTCCCATCCCGGGCCCCCTTCCAACCGTGACTACCACCCTAAGGCGCAGCACGTGGTGCTCGTCGATGAAGAGTCCCGAGTCCCACGAGCCAGCGTATCGAGAGGGGCTTCTGAATGGACGCTGATCCGGTCGGTCGGTTCCCTAGCCGAATCCACTCGGGTGGGAAACCGCTTCCGTGGCTACCTACCTTACCACCCCTTCATGGGCCGTCTGACGATGTTCAGCCGCTCCGTCGGTTAGAGTGGCAATCTAAGGGTTGAGTTGTTCGTGCCGACATGCCGGCGCCCGTCGTCGTGACTCGTCCGGTCCCTTCCCGTGATGGTCGAATCAGGACGATTTGCAGTAGGCTTATCGGTCGTTCCTCCTGTCAGAGTAAACATGTTTGCTGTCCGTGATCCGTCTAGTTGAGATGATCTCGGCCGTCCGTGGATCAGTGAGCGTTGATCTCTGGAGAATGAGTAGAATCGTAGATCTCACCAAGTCGGATTTCATCCCTGGTGTTCTTTGCGTGATTCACCAAGATTGAAGCTCGAGATATTTGACATCATGATATGAAATTCGTAGAAGAGTAGATTCTCATCAACCATGAACTAAAAAAGATGAAATCCAAAAGAAATCCCGCTATCCGAATTGAAGGTATCAACCACCATCACCGCCATATTCATCCCTCCCGCCCCGTGCCATCCGGTTTTCTTTTTGTACAAATCAACCACCGTCTACAACTCATCACCGCTTCTTCAAGCTCGCACGCCAACGCTACGGCAACTCATACAGACTCTTCTTCCGCCCCTTCGGCTCCCCAACCACCAGCGCCTCTTTGCCGTCAATCTCCGCCATCTGATACGACCCGCCCAGTCCGCCCGGGCTGCCATCCCACTCACTGCTCGCCCTCCGCCCGCCCATCGTCCCCATGCCGTTCACATACGTCCCCGTCCCCATCGAGCTGATCGTCCCCGTCCCGTTGCCCACGTTCATCCCGCCGTACGCGATCCGCCCCGAGTTCGCCCGCGACAGATCCCCGCCGTTGCCGCCGGCCCCGTACACGCTGCTCCCGTCCAGCTCCACGGGGCCCCTCTCCCTCCTCTCCTTCCTCATCCACCACATCACCCCGACCGCAACCAGCAGCGCGCCGCCCACGCTCGCGCCCACGCCCATCCCGACCGTCGCCACCGTGCTCAGGCCCTGCTTCTCCGTCGTGCCGCTCGTCGTCTCGCCCGTCGTGGCGCCAGTTCCCGACCCAGCGGCGGGGGTGGACGCCGGGATCTTGGACGTCATCGTCGGCGCGCTCGTGATCGCGGGCGTGTGTCCCGGCCCCGTCGCCTCCGCCGCGGTGCCGCCCGTCTTGTGCGATCCCGAGGCGGACTGTGTCGGCGTGGACTTGGAGTTGGTGTTGAGCGTCTGCACGGCGGCGGCGTTGCCCGGCGTCGCGGCGATGAGCGGGCCGAAGACGGCGGCCGGCGTGGAGCAGCACCGCGTCTTCTCGGCGGCGGATTCGCAGCAGAACTTGCCCGGCGTGGCGAACCCTTGGGAGTCGCATTGCCAGACCTGCACGCCGTTGAAGCGGAAGTCGAAGGCCGTGTTGTTCTTTCTCGTGTCAGGGTCTGTGGGCGGGCTGTTAGCACGATATGTTCCCGTTTCACCCCATCAAGCTGCCTTCTCATGACCGTTCTCCCCTTCTTCACGCACTGAGAGGCTGGAAACATCACGGGGAAGAAAATACTCACTCAACACGCAGTGTTGCGGGCAAATCGGGCTTTGCCATGTCGGATCCGAACAGGTCCCTCTCGCGTACGCGATGCCCGTGTTGTTCGACGTGTCTTCGAGCTTGCACAGCCCGTTGCTCAGGCACGCGTTCACGCTGCCGCAGCACATGCTGACCTCGGCCTTGGGGTCGCACGGCACGTCGAGGCTCTGCACGCCGCCGGGGAAGAAGCACAGGTTCGCCGCGGCCCGCACTCCGTTGACACCGCTGGCGAGCGTCGTCAACGCCACGACGAGTAATGTTGTCGACCTCATGTTTGCTTTGGTGGTACTGAGGTTGTGTGGAGAATAGGGAGTAGGCCAGGTGGAGTTTTTGTCGTCGTTCACAACAGTCGGCCAAGCTTGCTGAAGGAACGGTTGTTCGGGGGTTAATAGTATGTTGCGTTTTTGTCGAGAACCAGCCTCTGTTGTATCGTTGGACGTAAAGTCGATTTTCGGTGTGCGGAAATTCGAGTTTCGAATGACGATTTGAGGCGTTCGGTGCCCTTGCGGGTAGGGTAATGAGTGATTACAAGATAAAAATGAATGGATGTGATGGGGGTATGATATATGTTGATGGTGAATGATTCCTCCAGATAATGAGCAAAGCAAGAAAAGAAAAGAGGCTTTCGATCCTCCCCCGTAGGATTACGATTAACCTCGACCGAAACAGCAAGTAACAAATAGCGATATTGAAAAAGAGTGTGATGGGTTTGCTTTCCTTTCTCTCTCTCTTTCCTCT